GAATTCTCGGCCCAGTTCGATCAGATGCTGTAAGAGAACAGAAGTAGGTGTAGGCACTGTAAAATAAAATCCCCTTTTCCAGACTTACAGAATATAAAATCTACTCTTATGCTACACTACATGCCTTAGACATTGCTGCATACGTAGAAAAGACTAGGGAATGTCTGGATGCCTGAATGCCCTTATAAACCGCATGTTACCTTCATTCAAGGAACCCAAAGACACGCGTCCTTACAACCCCACATACTGTTGCTTACCATACGTAACATAATGTATAAGCATGCAGCGCAAATCTCCATCGAACCACAAAACACCAGCACGTTTCAAGTAAAGGGTGAAACCTGAAGTTAAGGCAAGAAGCATAGTTAACACACGAAGTTGTGCAATTTTGTTTTCTCTTTCTTTCTTTCTTTCATATTGTTCTTCTCCCTTTCCTATTTTTCCTACCCTTTTTCTCCTTTTCCTCTTTTCTCCTCCATTTCCTATTTTTCCTACCCTTTTTCTCCTTTTCCTCTTTTCTCCTCCATTTCAGTTACTACTACTTTACTACTACTACTGCTACTACTACTACTATTACTACTACTATTACTTCTACTACTACCACCTCCACTACTACTACTACTGCTACTGCTGCTGCCGTCACCGCTGCCATCACTGCTGCTGCCAATTCTTCTTTTTCTTTTTTTTTTATTTTCATTTACTTTTTCTTTTTCTTTGGCTTCCTCCTTCCCCTTCCTCTCTCCCCCCCTCCTTTCTTCTCTCTTTCCTTTCCTCCTTCCTTCCTCCCCCCTCCTCTCTTCTCCCCATCCCGTACCCCTCCCCCTACCCTCTTCCTTCTCTTATCCCTTTTCCTTTTCCTTTTCCTTTTCCTATCCCCTCCCCCTTCCCTTCCCATTCACCACCAAATGCCCATTCTCTTTCCCTCTCCATTCTCCCCCTCCTTCCCTCGCCTCCTTTCCCCCCCTCCTTCCCTCGCCCCCTTTCCCCCCCTCCTTAACCCTCCCCCCCCCCCCACCCCCACCTCCTCCCCAGCCCCTAACGTGCCGCTTGTACTCACGTGGATGAGAGCGGGATCCTCATCGTCGAAGTCCTCGAAATCTTGCACGAGGTCATCCTCCAGGAGCGAGGCGAGGATGCCCCGCGGGCGCCGCTGCGGGGGGGAGGGCGAGTGCGTGGGCGAGGGCGGGGGAGACGAGGGGCCGCCTCCGCTCCGCCAGTGTTCCCATAGCTTCCAGCACACCAGGGACCCGACGCCCACCAGGAAAATCACGCTGCCCGCCCGAACTGCGGAAAGAAGGCTCGGCTCAACAGCGGGTTCTCGGGAGGGGGGGGGCAGAGCAGGAGGGGAAGAGGGACGTTCATGGCGCCGTGGCAGGGATGAAGGGTAAACAGTAATAATAATGATGATGATGGTGATAAGCATTGTTGATCATAATAACAATAATGATAATAATAATAAGTGATGATAATATTAATACTACTACTACTAATAATAATAACAAAAATAATAACAACAATAATACGGATAACATCAAATAACAATATTGTCAATAATATTAGAGATGATTATAACAAGAACAACAACTCAATAATAACAATAATAGTCATAACATAACATCTCTCTCTCTCTCTCTCTCTCATTTCCTCTCTCTCTCTCTCTCATTTCCTCTCTCTCTTTCTCTCTCATTTCCTCTCTCTCTCTCTCTCTCATTTCCTCTCTCTCTCTCTCATTTCCCTCTCTCTCTCTCTCATTTCCTCTCTCTCTCTCTCTCTCTCTCTCTCTCTCTCTCTCTCTCTCTCTCTCTCTCTCTCTCTCTCTCTCTCTCTCTCTCTCTCTCATTTCCTCTCTCTCTCTCTCTCTCATTTCCTCTCTCTCTCTCTCTCTCTCTCTCTCTCTCTCTCTCTCTCTCTCTCTCTCTCTCTCTCTCTCTCTCTCTCTCTCCTCTCTCTCTCTCTCCTCTCTCTCTCTCTCTCTCTCTCTCTCTCTCTCTCTCTCTCTCTCTCTCTCTCTCTCTCTCTCTCTCTCTCCTTTCCTCTCTCTCTCTCTCTCATTTCCTCGAATCAGTTCCCGAAAAGCTCCCAGGACCGTCCCCGAGCCCGAGCCGTCGCCGCCGGCAGCAGCATTCGCGGCGCATCGACTGCCTTCCCAAAATCCATACCTTCTCGGTGCCAACGTCAGAGTGATTCCTTTGTGCCACTACAAACCCACATCCCTTCAGTGGCACTACGTGTCGCTATAGCAACAGACGGCATCTAACCCGAAGTGCCTTTCATTGGAAATCATCCTTGTATAATGTCATTTCGCGCCGAAATTCCTTAGTTCGGATATTGTTATGGAAAATCCGTATAAATTCATTGCTTCTTGATGCGATCTAATATACTCCATAGCCGTTCTGGTCAAATGAATATACCTCTGTGAGCGCATGACGTGATGAAGTATCCTCAGCGTTAGAAAAAATGGTGTGAGGATGAATATCTTCACAGCACAAAAGATGTACTTGAGTATATTCATTCATTCACACAAAGGTATGAATGAATGAATATACTTTATTAACCCTCGTCGCAAGAACACTTCATCCTGAGCGTTTAGTTCCGCTGCACAACCGTCCTCTCAATGACGCTAACTCGGCCTTCAATTCACCTAATTACGGTTCCTCGTTCATGCTCCCCGACGCCGCTCCTCGAGGCTCGGTGCATTCCGCCCCTGGCGACGACCACGGGCGGCGGGAGGGACTACCGCGCCTCGGGGCAACGGCTCCTTGAAATGATCTGGGCACGGAGGGAGGGGAGGGAAGAAAGGGAGAAAGCAAGGAAGAGAGAGGGGAAGTGGGAGAAAGGGAGAGCAGGAGTGGGCAATGGGAGAGGAGGATGGGAAAGGGAGAGGGGGGAAGGGCGTGGGAGAGCCAACAGTCCGGAGTCACGGGACGCCAGCCTGACCTTACATCGACCTCTTCATTGCGTGGCAGAGGAGGGAGCGTGGAGGGGGTGAGGTCAGGGGGAGGGGCCCGAGGGAGGGGCCAAGGGAGGGGCCAGTGGGTGGGGAAAGGGGCGAGGCGGCGCCATGTCAAGGGGGGGTGAAACCGGGGAGAGAAATGTATGAAAGCGAACAGGATGAAACGCAGGAGGAGGAAGATGGAAATCAATTAGGAAGCAAAGCAAGCAAGGAGGCGAGGCTCGTCCAGCCAGTGGGCCTAAACGCAACTCCTCTCGAATCGGTCAACGTGCGTGACACTCTCGTGAGCGAGAGCCAGGCGGGTGGCGCCCCTCGGGTCATTTTATTCCGCGGTCGCCCACGCAGAGTACAAGACGTCAATAATGCCTGTATCCTCCTGCTGCCTCGTCTCCCCCGTCCCCCCCCCCTCCCACAAACGACCACTACTGAACTACAGAGGCAGATTCTGCCACTGCCTGCGTTCTCCGCAGGATTTCTGGCTGCGTCCGGCCGCCCGGCGACGGAATCCTGCGCTTCCTGCGCTCCGCTCGGGCGGCCGCCCACCGGCTTCGCTCCCTCGATGGGAAATGACGCTCAACTTCTCAATTGCCGTTATGCTGCCTTGCAGTTTACAAGATTCTTGGGCGTTTATGTTTAAACTGGTAGGTACATAAGTATGTATGCATATGCATACACATACATACATGCATACATACATATATATAGATATATACATATATGTACATATATATATATATACAAACACATATATATATGTGCGTGCGTGCGTGCATGTGCGTGCATGTGTGTGTGTGTTTGTGTGTGTTTGTGTGTGTTTGTGTGTGTGTGTGTGTGTGTGTGTGTGTGTGTGTGTGTGTGTGTGTGTGTGTGTGTGTGTGTGTGTGTGTGTGTGTGTGTGTGTGTGTGTGTGTGTGTGTGTGTACTTATATATATACCTACATACATACATACATATATTCATATATACATATATATATATATATATATATATATATATATATATATATATATATATATATATATATATATATGCTTAAATACATATAAATGTAAATGTGTGTGTGTGTGTGTGTGTGTGTGTGTGTGTGTGTGTGTGTGTGTGTGTGTGTGTGTGTGTGTGTGTGTGTGTGTGTGTGTGTGGAAACTCTTCTCGCCACAAGTAATGCTATTTCCTCCAGACACTGCGATGACGTCACACCGCAAACCAACAGACAGCGAGCGCACAGGCTCCCGCCGATCAAACAAGCACGTGCAACCCCGAAATGCAAATTGCACGACGAGCAGGCCCGCCGATTCGACACGCGAGACAGCTGGATGACAGAGCTACGGATTCCCGGGTTCAGAGGGGACGCCTCCCCGAGTCAACCCCACAACTGAGGCTCGTTTTATGAACAAACAAATAATGGCAAACGTAATAGTTCGTAAAGATAAGTTCTATTGTAATATACGAAATAAGAGGAAAAGTGTAAGAAGAGGCGCCGGGGGTCTGACCCTCGACGGTTAAAGGGGATTTTCCGAACGACTCAGCGGCCTCCGCGTCCGGCCGGGAGCGGAGTGAGCGGGAAGATTAGCCCAGTTCCTTTAACAGCACCTGCCTATAAATATCTGCACTTGCAACTGCCCCTTGCAACCGTGAGCCTCATCAACGACATTTGCATTTCCGCACCGTCACCCCCCCATTTCCGGCCCCGTCCCCCACCCCGCCCTTTGCGAGGATGAAACAACCAGCCAAAAGGCGCCCCGTGACTGCCCTGGCTTACCATAGCGAGTCTGCTTCCCTCACACCCGCCATGACGCCATGACGCGCACGATTATTATTAGTGAGTGACAGAAATACCCGTCTGGCACAGGGAACGGTAAGCGGCTGCAACCCCGAGCTCGTGCAGGAAGGCACTTGTAGTACCTGAGGGCACTTACCCAACCGCGACGGGAGGAAGTGCACCGCCCCGCGATTCCACCTTCAAAAAGACGCCCGCCACTTGTATCAAGGACCAACATACAGGATGAAGGAATGATTAATAACGACACGCTCATTCCCAAATTTTCATACTCGAGCTTTAGGGTTTAAAAAACGCAGAGCCCTTTGCTCAGCGAGTCGTCGGCGTGTTCGATAACCCTTCAGGCGAGACAGAGAGCCCTTCGCCGGGGCACCTGAGGCGAGGCTGCAGCTTCCACCTCCAATTAACGGCCATCGCATTGCACGGCTTATCTCCGCAGCTACTTGCCAGCGCCGCTAAATCTTTCCGCTCGCCAACGCGACTGAACTCGCGCTAAGCTCCGGTGAAGGTCGGAACGCAAGAGGATAATAATATACTTCTAAATGGAGATATTACCCCAGTGATATAATTATATGCAGGGTGTGTGTATAAACTTGGGTATGGCGGTTCCCGTATGAATCGCCTGTTTACATTGGAAATTTCCTCAGAGCCAAAGCTTCTTTAGACGAAGGGGACAAAATTATCCTTGTTTAAACAACACAATGCCATCGAGCTTCCCCGGATCACATTGCAGGGGCTTTTCAGGGAGCGCTCTCGATGAGGCTCGAGAGAAATAATCTTGAAGCAAAGGAAGAATAGGGAAAACGAGAAGAAAAAAACAGATGGTGATATTGGATATGAGCATGATGGTGAAGGCAAAGGAGACGGAAATGATGATGTGAAGGCAAAGGAGACGAATATGATGATGATGATTATGATGACGATGACGACGATGACGACGATGACGACGATGATGATAAGATAAAGAAGGGATAGAGAGGGAAGAAAAGGGGGAGAAGGATGGTGGAAATGGCAGGGAAAGAGCCAGGGACTGACGCAGGAGGCACTGTACCCACAACAGGAAGGTCGAGTGAAAATGCGCTCGAGTCGACTCTTGTGGAAATTATGGTGATGGTGATTATAATAACAACAACAACAACAACAATAATAATAATAATAATAATAACAATTAACAACAACAAAACAACAACAACAATAATGATAATAATAATAATAATAATAATAAATAATAATAATAATAATATTAATAAAACAGTATCATAAAAATAATAGAATAGTAATGATAACAATAATATCAATAATAATAATGATAATATTAATAATAACGATAATATAATAATAATAATAATAATAATAATAATAATAATAATAATAATAATAATAATAGCAATAATAATAATAATAGCAATAATAATAATAATAATAATAATAATAATAATAATAATAATAATAATAGCAATAATAATAATAATAATAATAATAATAATAATAATAATAACGGTAATCATAACAATAATAATAACAACCACAACAACAAAATAATAATAATAGTA